AAGTATTTTAGTGAGACCATTTTACACAGTCATCTGAAGCACTGTTGTGTCCATTTTCTGCTGCTGATTGAACATGAAAAGAAAAGCCGTAGATAGAATTTCAGTTAACTGCTGATTCTGGTGGTTGTCATCATGTTTTTTTTTTAAAAAGAAAAGTAACCTCCATGGCACCAGGATGGATGCTTTCTCTGATTAGGCCGTGACCCCATGTAGCAATTCTGAGTATCAGGTACCACCGCTCCAGGTACGGATGCCAGTGCTGACCACAAGGCTACAAGGCTGATGCCCACATCTCAGGAGCTCTGCAGTGCAGGGAGCAATCAGGTGTTATTAATATTAGTGTATGCATTACTGAGATTAGAGGCCCGCTGGGAAGACACTCATCTTTTATTTTGTTCAGTACTTAGTGTTCGATGCTTATTATCCAGAAAGACCAGCATCATCTCTAAGAAGACATTGCTTATAGCTGGTTAAGAACAAACCAGGCCGGGCGCAGTGGCTCAAGCCTGTAATCCCAGCACTTTGGGAGGCTGAGGTGAGTGGATCACCCTGAGGTTAGGAGTTCAAGACCAGTCTGGGCAACATGGCAAAACTAAAAAATACAAAAAATTAGCTGGGCGTGGTGGCACACACCTATAATCCCAGCTACCCAGGAGGCTGAGGCAGGAGGATCACTTGAACTCAGGAGGCCGAGGTTGCAGTGAGCAGAGATCGCTCCATTGCACTCTAGTCTGGGTGACAGAGCAAGACTCCATCTCCCCTGCCCCCCCGGAAACAAACAAAAAACCGCTGGGGTTGGTTTAGGACAGCTCTTCCTTTCTGTATTTCACTCTACCCAACCCCCTCCCCCCAGCCAGGAAAACATGTTTTTCCTCCAAGAAGCATGTGCCACTACCAGAGCATCTTGGGAAGGCCAAGTTGAACACCGTAGACAGTGATGTGGTCATTCTTAAGCATTCTTCCTGGTCATCTTCGTCCCAGAGACCACTGCCCTGCAGGAGGATGGCATGTTCACTCTGAGAGCACCATGTAATCTGTGATCCCTCAACTACGGGTCAGACTCTGCCACCGTATCTCCTTTCCCTGTCTCCTAGGACACATTTACTGAGGAGATTTCCATGCACCTGTGATGTCATACCCGTGGGTTTTTTATTTTTTTTTACCATCCGGTTCTTCTGATCTTAGAACTGGATGACTCTAGGGCTTCTTGTAGCACCTACTCTGGGGCTGCTCCTTGCTGAGGTCCACCCTCTGCCGCCAGGGGGACATTTTGTGCACCAAATGGTGCACCAGGATGTGGCAGTAGTTGCCTGTTCTGGCGCTAGGGGAAACGAGCAGCTCAGCCCATCTGGGCTTAGCCTTTCTGTAAGTAGCACGGAAACACCTTCTTAGGCAGATCCACCCCCCCTTGCGTGTGTGGCAGGCGCTGGCTGGAGGTGTGGGGCGCCGCAGGCAGGTAATGGGAACACAGCCACGACGCAGTCACCGCAGAGAAGCAGTGTGTGGACTTAAGCTAGAAATCCGGACACCTTGCATCTTCTCCTAGTTTCACTTCTCAGGTTGAAATCTCTTACCCTTTCTGAACCGTGTAGTTTCCAACCTGTCGAGGGTTCAGGAGTGTTTGTCAGAGGAGCATCTATAGCATCTGTGCCCTCTGCATGCCTCTGGCGGAAGTTGTTTTCCTGAAACTTGGGACCAGCTTTGGCATTTTAAGCAGGTTTGTTGGCAGAGAGATGGACTGGCAGCAGGGAGGGAGCAACGTGTCTGTCTCACTTGGATTCTGCCCCGAGGGCTCACAATCTGTTTTCCCTACAGCACCAAGTACCCTAGCACCACTCAGGAAACGTGAGTTAACAGCATCAGCCCGGCTTCCACAGGGAACCTGGGCTCCTTTGCCTCAGGAAGGCAAGTGGCTTCCTAGACAGCATAATTGGGGAGGATGCATCACTCTGCCGCCCAGGCTGGAGTGCAGTGGCGTGATCTCAGCTCACTGCAGTCTCTGCCTCCGGGGTTCAAGCGAATCTCTTGGCTCAGCCTCCCTGGTAGCTGGGATTATAGGCATGTGCCACTATGCCTGGCTAATTTTTGTATTTTTAGTAGAAACGGGGTTTCACCATGTTGCCCAGGCTGGTCTCAGGTGATCTGCCCGCCTCGGCCTCCCAAAGTGCTAGGGTTATAGGCATGAACCACCACATCCACAGCCAAGCCTCTCTCTTAGACAACAACTAGATAACCTACTTGGAAATTTGATTAACATCTTCCAGATTTTCCACAATGAGGAACGTCATCCCCAGCAGCCTGAAGGCCTAATTTTTTGTTTATTACCACAGTGACTTTGCTTTTTAAACCAGTAGGATTCTGCCAGGGAAGACTGGGAAGTGGCAGGAGACCCTGCTCTGCTGTAGGAAGGATGTTCTCAGAGTTTCTGCCCTGTTCATATTTTACATTCAGCGCACATGCGCGCAGTGTCCTTATGGGACTGTGTTCTCGTTCCTCCCCATGCTGTGATTTCACCTGGGGACTGCTCTGTGTACTCTCATAGCATTAACCAGTCACGGCATGTGGGCTCCCAAAGCAGGGCCTAGTCTCGGGTGAGGAGGCAGCTCCCTTCAGAGAAGGGCAGTGTCCAGGAGGGACTTGTGAGCTGTTAGCACCAGCATGCTTCGTGCCTCAGTCTTGCCGGGGAAGTGTGGACAGAGCCACAGCAGTCACCTCTGCAGTAGTTCTCGAGCGTGCCCCCGACCCGCAGCCTCACCTCCGAAGGGCGGCTCTTCCAGCCCCACTCTAGAGGGATGGAATCAGAAGCTGAGGAAGGGTCCAGCAGTCTCTGCGCACAGCCCTCTGGGGGATTCTGAGGCATGCTCAGGTTTGAGAGCCCCTGCATTATAATGATAGAAATAGTTGTAAATGGAGCCAGGCACAGTGGCTCATGCCTGTAATCCCAGCACTTTGGGAGGCCAAGGTGGGTGGATCACTTGAGCTCAGGAGATCGAGACCAGCCTGGCCAACATGGCAAAACTCCGTCTCTACTAAAAGTACAAAAAACAGCTGTGCATGGTGGTGCACGTCTGTAATTCCAGCTACTCAGGAGGCTGAGGCAGGAGAATCTCTTCAACCCGGGAGGTGGAGGTTGCAGTGAGCTGAGATTGCACCACTGCACTCCAGCCTGGGTGACAGAGCCAGACTCTGTCTCCAAAATATATATATATATACATTATATATATATATAATTTTTTACGTTTCTTTTTAAAAACGATTTTAAAATGTTGAACATACGTGAGACCACAACCTATCCGCGAAATGTCCGGCACTGTGAGGACACAGCACGGACTCGAGTCTCTTCGTGCACCATCAGCCAGCCCGGCAGCGGGAAGGTCTGGGCGCCTGACCTTCACTCCTGGGTGTTGAACCGAGAGAGGAGAGCATATGTCTGCACGAAGACCTGTACGTGGATGCATAGCAGCTGTACTCACAATAGCTTTAAACTAGAGACAACCCAGGTTCATGAGTAGGTGAATGGATAAGCAAATTGTGGTGTTTCTACACAGCAGAGTACTGTCAGCAGTAAGAAGTGAACTGTTGATAACCCACTGTCATGGGTGAATGTCTAAGTTATGCTGAGTGAAAGAAGCCAGACCCAAAAAACCCCCATATATATACATATATATATATATATGTTGTGTGTGTGTATGTTGATTTAGTTTTTGAGACAGAGTCTTGCTCTGTTGCCCAGGCTGGAGTACAGTGGTGCAGTTTCGGCTCCACTGCAATCTCCGCCGCCTCCTGGGTGCTAGTGATTCTCCTCCCTCAGCCACCCGAGTAGCTGGGATTACAGGTGTGTGCCAACATGCCCGGATCATTTTGGTATTTTTAGTAGAGACCTAGGTTTCTCCACATTGGCCAGGCTCGTCTCGATCTCCTGGCCTCACCTCAGCCTCCCAAAGTGTTGGGATTACAGGTGTGAGCCACCACGCTTGGCCTATATGTATTTATATAGGATAAATATAGAAAAGGCCATTCCTGTAAAAGTCTAGAGTGCAAACCATAGTGACAAGAAAGATCAGTGGTTGCTTGGGAATGGGGTAAAGCGCAAGAAAGGGTTGGATGATTAAAAAACATGAGGACATTTTGAGCGGGATGATGGATGTGTTTATTATTATGTCCTGGTGTCTCCATTGTGTACATATGTCAAAACTCATCAGGTGATGTACTTTTTCAAGTTGTATAGCAGTTTATATGTCAAGTACACCTCAACAGAGCTGTAAGGAAAAACACAACAGGTCTGACAGTTACCTGGGAAAGGCAGGAGAACAGGTGGTAGAAGAACACATTTTTTTTGACCTTCATGATATTTATATAACATAAATGAATAAAATAGGGCCAACATGGAAAAGAAAACCAAATGAAGGAAAATGTCAAATTGCCATCCTGAACACCAGCACCGCCTACTAGTTAGCGTTCCTGACTGCAGCCGCATCTGCGGTCCTGCTCCTCATGAAGCCATCCTCACTGCCATGTCCTGGCCGCGCCTGTCCTTAGCTTCCTGGTGCCCACCGTCCACAGGCACGGGGCTGCTTGGCTCACCCTGGCGGCACCTGACCTGTCCGTTCTCCCACCGCGGTACCGCCCAGGGCTTCCCGCTGCCAGGCTGGCTGATGGTGCACGGAAGAGACTCCAGTCCGTGTTGTGTCCTCACCGCGCCGGACATTTCGCGGATAGGTTGTGGTCTCTGAATCTCCTTCTCGCAAGAGATTTGTCTTGTGTTATTGCCAAAACTCTATTTGTCACACCGCGGGTTATGCATCATTAACAAAAAAGCTGAGACTTAGGCTGGTGTTTCTTACTGGTGCAGCCTTTAAATGCACACCTGGAAATGTTCAGCGCACCTTCCTCCGCATCCTGGCTCTATTCCATCAAACCCCAGGTCGTAGTGAAAGCCCGCGAGGACTTCTTTGGAACTTCCTGATTGGCTTTGTCCTTGCCTCCTTGTCTTCCCGCAGATCTGATTTGTGTCCACTGTCACCAGTACTGCTCACTTAGGACTTTCTGGATCCAGACGCAGCTGCAGCGCACACTGGACTCCTGAGGAAGTGAGTAGCCCAGCACTCTGCCTGTTGCACCCGGGGAGGCTGTCGTCTGACTGAAATCCCTGCAGGCTTCCCGACAGTCCCCTGGGTGTGGGCAGGCGCACCTGCCACTTGGCACAGGTGATAAAGCATTGTGATTTTTTTTTTTTTGGTGAGAGGAACAGATGTATCTAAAATCTCAGGAAACTGAGAACTTCCTTTTCTGCTCTTACTAATACATATATTGACATTTAATAGCAAACACTGGAATAATGGGAGGATAGCGATGTTCAGACGTTAAAAGCCAGTGGGATTCATCGTGGAGCTCAGAATTAAATGGCAGAGGAAGGTGAAGTTATTTAGCCACACGCAAGGTCAGGTCAGGTGAAATGCTCATTTAACTTACAGAAAAGAACTTTGAAGACCATGGCCTTCAGATTGCCTGGGATTATTTCCATGGAAATGTCACCGTGTTTACATTGTCACAGAATGATAGGAAATAGTTTTTGGTTTGGGTTTCTTTTGTTTTTGTTTTGAGACAGAGTCTCGCTGTCACCCAGGCTGGAGTGCAGTGGCGCGATCTCAGCTAGCTGCAACCTCTGCCTCCCGGGCTCAAGCGAGTCTCTTCCCTCAGCCTCCCGAGTAGCTGGGATTACAGGCACCTGTCACCATGCCCAGCTAATTTTTGTATTTTTGGTAGAGACGGGTTTCCCAGTGTTGGCCAGGCTGGTCTCGAACTCCTGCCCTCAGGTGATCCATCTGCCTCAGCCTCCCAAGTGCTGGGATTACAGGCATGAGCTACCTCGCCTGGCCTTTTTTCTTTTTTCTTTTGTTTGAGACTGGGTCTCCCTGTTGCCTAGGTTGCAGTGTGGTGGTGCAGCCTTGACCTCCCGGGCTCAAGAGATCTGCCCACCTCAGTCTCCTGAGTAGCTGGGACTACAGGCATGCACTACCACACCCAGCTAATTAAAAAAAAAAGGTTTTTTTTTTTTTTTTTTTGGAGAGAGGGGGTCTCACTGTGTTGCCTAGGTGGGTCTTGAACTCCTGGGCTTAAGCAGTCCTCCCACCTCAGCCTCCCAAAGTGCTGGGATTACAGGCATGAGCCAACATGCCCAGCTCCCACCCACATATATATATATATATTTTTTTTTGGACAGTCACCAGAGAGCTGGATTTTACATTGATTTTACATGTGTGTGTCCTAGGTGACTTTTCCTGTTAATTGATAGAAAATGATTTGCTTGTATCCTTGAAAGATTGTACTGTATTACAAAAAAACCTAATCTTTCCATGTGACAAACGTGACAGAAGGCTGTGATGAATCAGTAGCATCTAAAGTACTGACACATACCTGTATTTTGCAGGAAGGAGACTGTGATTTTGGATTCCTTGGTGGAGGAAAATAAAACACTCTGGTCTTGCCCCCAACGATGCAAGTGTGACTGCTGGCGTCTTCATGAGCTCCAGAGGTCACAGCACGCTACCAAGGACTCTCATGGCCCCTCGGATGATTTCCGAGGGAGACTTAGGAGGCATTGCTCAAATCACCTCCTCTCTATTCCTGGGCAGAGGCAGTGTGGCCTCCAATCGGCACCTCCTCCAGGCTCGTGGCATCACCTGCATTGTTAATGCTACCATTGAAATCCCTAATTTCAACTGGCCCCAATTTGAGTATGTTAAAGTGCCTCTGGCTGACATGCCGCACGCCCCCATTGGACTGTACTTTGACACCGTGGCTGACAAGATCCACAGTGTGAGCAGGAAGCACGGGGCCACCCTGGTGCACTGTGCTGCCGGGGTGAGCCGCTCAGCCACGCTCTGTATCGCCTACCTGATGAAATTCCACAACGTGTGCCTGCTGGAGGCGTACAACTGGGTGAAGGCCCGGCGACCTGTCATCAGGCCCAACGTAGGCTTCTGGAGGCAGCTGATAGACTACGAGCGCCAGCTCTTTGGGAAGTCGACAGTTAAAATGGTACAGACACCTTACGGCATAGTTCCCGACGTCTATGAGAAGGAGTCCCGACACCTGATGCCTTACTGGGGGATTTAGTGCCACCGAAGCCTGCGTCAGCAGCCTGAATGGGACCGGTGTCTGCTCCCCGCCGTCTGCTCCCTCTCCACTGTCTTCTCAAATGGCCGACTTCTGGTTCTCCCTCAAGTGTTTTTTACACTGGGTGTTCAAATTTATTTTGAGAGAGAGGGAGGGAGGGAGGGGACATAAAGGGAATGCATACATTGCTAGTCACATTTTTAAAATTAACATTTTGGAATAGTGTTTATGAAAATCTTTAGCTTTTAATCATTTTTACCAATTTGAACAGTTTAATAAACTGTTTGGTTCTGCTCTCTTCTGAATCTCATGCCTTTGGCACCTTGGTAGGTGCAGGAGGAGCTCAGTGCAAAAACCACTTTGGGGCCTCATTAACCCTTTAGAGACAAGCTTCACCCCAGGCTGCTGACCAGACAGATGCTTAGGGAAGGTTGATACCAGCTTCAGTCTCTACTGGATTAGCCCTACTCTTTCCTTTCCCCTCTATTATTTAGTGACTCTGTAAGTTAAAATAAATACACCTTTATTATTTAGCTGTTAAGTAACTATAATGAAATCTGCTGCAAAAACACTCTTGGAATCCATGTGCCCAAGATTATATTAGCATTATTTTTAATAAATCTATATGCTTAACATATTAGAATTTTTACTAATAATTTCAGGATGTGTGTGTGTCGATGATGGGAAAAAAGGTGCTCTCCAGTAACTGCTAAACTGTGGCTCCTGTGACAGTTGTGAACACCACTTAAAATACACATCCCAGCAGAGTCCCGTCGGCGCATCACATCCTGGGGGATGGGCAGACACACTGTCCCCAGTGCTGGGCGGTGGGAGATAAGAGTGCACGCTCTGATCAGGGGTGCTGGTTTTGGTTTCCTCTTGATTAGTGGAGCACCCCAAAGCAACATGTCCTCCATCAGAGAAACTGGTTTTCAATAAAAGGTGCCTCTGCTCGACTATTACCACCTACGAAAATGCCCTAAACCAAACCTCAGTATAAGCGATAAGCAAATAACAAAAAATGGCTGCCTTTGTTTAACTTTGGAAATGTCACCCAGGTCACTGCTCCTGATAAAATGGGCGGCACCGCTCATCAGGTACACGGTAGAAGGTGAATGAGCTCGCCTCTGTCCCACTCCTGGGACACAACTGGGCGAAAGCTTTCCACGTGCCCCCAAATAACCACTGTCCTAGGGCGTGCCTGCCTTCTGGATGGAGGGCCTCCTGGGAGTCTGCCCGTGCGATGGGAACCGGTCGCCGCCCTGCTCTTTGGCCTCATTTGTCAGGGACGTAGCTTGCACACTAGAGGAATCGTTTTCTAGATTTTTTGGGTGCGTTTTGGCAGGAAGCCATACATAGGCCAGTAGCTACATACTTAGACAAATATCCACAAAACATTTTACCTGGTTTGTGGCAATGGTTTTTTCCATCTAAGTTCTACCTTTTATTGCTTTATACCCCTGGCTGCCCACTGTTATAAACATGCATCATTATTCTCTAGAAAAATTAAAATGAAAAAAATTAATAGTTTCTATGAGAAATCAGAGGAACCAACAAATGCTGTAAGATCAAAAACAAACAAACAAACAAAAAAATAATCCAGGGAGGCTCTGGCTGCTTTAGTTTGCGGCTGAGCTTTGAGTCTGGGAGTTTCTGAATAAGAGCCCCCATTGTCCTAGGGCGAGAAGACACCTGGTGACCAATGGTCTTCGTAATTAATGAAAATCACCTGTAGAATTCCTGGCACGCAGCACTGCGGGGCTGTGACTAAGAGTTCTTCGCACACGGGAAGCTGAACACCTTTGCAATCTTAAGTGCGTGGGCCCCTGTTCATCCTCGTGACTTGCATCTACGTGAAATCAACCCAACAAAGACCAGACCAAGAAAAGGTCTAGTAGCCTGACATTCTTCTACACTTGTATTTTGGTGAGGGAAGTTTAACAGCGGGTGATTTCAGAACAGACCCTGAAAATATTTTAAAGGTAAAGCTTTATAATATCTAAACATATCAATTAGAGCAGTTGTTTATTAAAATACAAACAAGGGAAAAACCACACCATCTTTTAAAATACAGGCCCGAATTCCACATCACACAGAAGACAACGCATTTCGCTACAGACCACAGCATTCACTGGTTAATAACGCCACAGCCACAAAGTAATGAGATGTCCCACAAGAATACTTTTTTAACCACTTATATTCACATCAACATATAAATAATGGAATTAAGTAAAAACTTCATTATAGTGCTATTTTGTTAGAAAAGTATTTGTAAAGTGGCATTTTTCCCCCCAAGAGCTGTTTCACTTAAGCTTTATTTCCTCGGCCTTGCAAGGGGCGGGCCTTTCAGTATTGTTATTTGGTGCACACTCACCTGAAGAAATAAGTAAGTTAAACTTAAAAAACACAGTCGACACACATCTTGCCCTGCATTCTGACATTTGCTGGAATGGTCTACAGCAGGCTACAGTGCTCCCTTCTGAATGGCAGATGTCTGAAAATGTCAGTTTATGAACTGTTCACAAAGGCAGGCATTTGACCTCGAAGGTGTTCAGGGGAATTTTTGTAGTGGTCCCCAGTACAGGGCCAGCATCTCCTATTTCTGTAACATACAGCCCTATAATCTTTGCAAAGCTGAAGTACACATTAAACAGGCAAACAGAAGACACCTTTAAACAAATAAGACCCCCCAAAATCCTTCAAATATGTGTATGTACACAAAATATTCAAATAATTAAAAATTCACAACCCCTATGAAATGCTAACTAGTAGCCACAGGAAAAATAAAGCATGGAAAATATCCTAATACAGCCAGTACCTCTTCTATCTCAAGCATGTCCAGACAAAAATGAAATTACACACTAAGCCATAAAAATTTCAAAGGCAAAACATCCCACCAAAAAAAGAAAAGTGCTATTAATCGCCATTCAAGCAGTGGGGTGAAGCGGGCTGACAATACACAGTATGGAAATAAGTAACCTTGGTTACGGTTTCCAAGGACACGGGGCTCCTGGCTAACAGGAAGAGCTGAGGTGAAGCTGAATGCAGTGTTGAGTCATTATAATAAATGTTTATAAAGAAAAGCAACGCAACGGTGTCCCACACTCCTTGGATCCCTATTGGTGGCATCTAATTAAACATTTCAAGTATTCAAGAGATATGAAAGGTAGTGAATACTTTTCAGAGCAAAGGCTTTTTTTCTGTTGACGTCTGCTGAATTTTCCTGTGGCACCTCCCACGGAGTGACTAAGCCTATCGCTTTTGGTAAGGAAAGTGGGAATTATACTAAGGAATTGTATCTGAGGCATTCTGGAATTTCTCAGGAATAGAAACCAGCCCAGCTAACAAGCTTACTTTTTAAAATGTCGATACTGGGCCACTGTGACGTGATAGGCATCTACACAGCATTTCAAAAAAAATGTTTCAGTAACATTTCAAATTGGGAAACTTACTATTTTTTTTTTTTTAAGAAACACAGTCTCTCTCATCACCTAGGCTGTTGTAAAAAAGAAATAAATTTTTAACAGTCACTGTCAGACTCCTGGATTCATGTGATCCTCCTGCCTCAGCCTCCCTAGTAGCTGGGACCACAAATGTCCGCAGATGCACTCCACCATGCCTGGCTAATTATTTTTTGTATAATTAGCTGGGGTCTTGCCATCTTGCCCAGGGCTGGTCTCTAACTCCTGGGAAACATTCTTATTGCAAAGGCAGATTCTGCTGTCATGGTTCTGTTATGAAATTTAGGCCAGGCGCGGTGGCTCATGCATGTAATCCCAGTACTTTGGGAGGCCGAGGCAGGCGGATCACCTGAGGTTGGGAGTTCGAGTATGACCAACATGGAGAAACCCCGTCTCTACTAAAAATACAAAATTAGCCAGGCGTGGTGGCGCATGTCTGTAATCCCAGCTACTCGTGGGGATGAGGCAGGAGAATCGCTTGACCTCGGGAGGCAGAGGTTGCAGTGAGCTGAGACTGCGCCATTGCACTCAAGCCTGGGTAACAAGAGTGAAACTCCATCTCAAAAAAAAAAAAAAAAAAAGAAATTTTTAAGACCAATTAGAAGCCTGCTTGCATTCCAGCTCCATGTGGCCCTGGTGCTGCCCAGGATGAAAGCTCCAAGGCCTCAGGAAAAGCCTGCCACAAGCTGTCCCACCTGTGTTGTTAGAAACACCCCATTAGCCTTGTGGTGGGCAAAAGCTCCAAAGGTACCAATTCAGAGTGAGCTGTCTCCGTCAGGAACGGCCAGAGACGGTATCATCCGGAGCGAGTGACAAGAGCCTTTCTCTCCTCGGTGCCTCTCTCCGCATTCGGGCGTGCAGAAGGTCACGCAGGAGCCTCAGCAACAGCTGTTTAATGAAAATGTTCCACACCTTTCTTGGAGAACATGGAAAAGCTGTAAGACGGACCAAGATAGAATTTGTTCTGAGAAGGGAAAATAAATTATGTAAAAGCAGCAACTATAGACAAGACCAACTTTTTCGGTTTAAAAATAAAAGTCTAGGTCAGAGGGCCTAAACCGCACAAAGTAAAGCACATGAGATTGAAAAATCTCTTCATAAAGCGCATAATCAACAATTCAGAGAGATGTGTGCCCTAGATTGGTACGTTCTTCCCAGGAATAACAGCTCTTAGCCACTTGAGTTTTCCCCCCTAATTTTATGCATTCAGATTAAATGGCAAAGAAAATTCCCTACTCCAGGAAGCACGAGTCTTTTCCATCTAAAATTCAGTACTATTTCTGGACAATTTTCTTCTAAGTCATGTATCTATCCCATAAATATACATCTTGATACTTTACACTAGGCCAAGAACTCCACATTTTCACCCTGAATTAATTTTCAGGTTTTTCTCACAGATACTGCAAAGTCAGGCAGTGTTGGTCCCTATGTAGTCATCTTTGGAAATCTGGAGAGAGGCCACTGCAAAGAGATTTCATTCCACTGCCTTTACAAATCTTGTCTGAGAAAACTCCATGGTCACAGTCTTTGCATGCGGCAAAACAGGTTTGCAGTGAAGGCTCCTGCAGGGAAGGATATTATCCTGGTACACAGGATTTGGGCCTCTGTGAAAATGGGCATTCTTCAGGACTGCAGGCATGTTTTGGGAAAAAGTCTCGAGCGCTGACAGCAATGAAGAGAAGGAGTAGAGAACTGGTTCAGTTGTGACAGCCAAGTGGGTAAAATCTGCCCTCACCTGCCTGCTACTGTCCAGGGCAGACGGGCAGAATCTTCTCCATAAAAAGCAGAACATCAGTTTAATTGCAATTTCCTCCTTTTATTCATTTCAGACATTAACAAACTAAATGCAAATAAATGCACTCTGCTTCACAGGACAGTAAGTGTTCTAGGTAAAAACAAGCACTGGCTCCAAGCAGCTGCCCATTCTAGTCCCGCAACAGTAGTTTATTTTTCTTCAAATGTCAGTTCTTCACAGTTTCAATACTGCAGCAGCAAGTTCTTCCTTAGATCCGGAAAGCTGTGGTCTGTATTTCAGAAAACCTTAAGAAAAGTAGAGAGAAGTGAGCAAGCTTCTGGCGCCAGGTGCCGCTTGAGTGGGACGATTTTACCTGAAGCCCCGCAGACTGGCCGTGGGGGTGACGGGGGCCCCGTCGCTTGCGGTGTTCTTCATATGGATTCAGGGAAGTGAACTGTGCAGCGCTCGCATTCTGCTGATTGGTCCCTGTCACCCCGTGGGGTGTCACAGAAAAAAAAAGAGTCAGTGCTTCACAGAGGAGTTGTTCAGAGCAGGTCAGGCAGGACAAGGCCAGGCGGCTTTGGTTCGACACAGTTGATCCAGAAGTTGGCACAGCTGGCGTGATACTGGTGCCCTCCGTAGGCCAGCTTGAAACTGTCTGTTTCTGAGTTGAATGCCTGCCAGAAATAAACAGAGATGTGGGACAAGTCAGGCTTTTTCTGCATCTCAGAGCTTTTCAGAAACCAACATGTACATCTCTCCAGGTCACAGAGGCTGAGGCCAAAATGGCACACACAAGAGCTGAGCGGGTAGCTACAGGAATTTAAGAGAGAAGGTTTTTTACTGCTAATTAAAGCTATAAAATTGTTACCACTAAACCTAGTTTCAGGAAAAGGTGGCCAAATCTTCCATGGAAAAGGCAGACAGAGGTTATGGGGCGGAGTGGGGGAATCATAAGGGGAACTAAAGTAGCCGAGGGCTGTGGACAGCTTTGATCCCTCACTGTGCTGAAGGAAGCCCTCCTCCTACGGCTGGCATCTGACTACGGCATGCAATCCTTTACACTCCTGCAGCTGACCACAAGCCTATCATGACAAAAAATTACAAGAGTTAGAGAACGAGAGAGAACGAGAGAGTTAGAGAACAGCAGTTAACAACTCTTAGGGTCGAATGGCATTGGGAGCGAATAACTGAATCTACATTATCAAAACATCCAAACAGGTAGAGTTAAAAAAAAAAAAACGCCTCAAAATGAACAGGCATTAAACACATAAGAATTATTTCCAGATGAGTAGGCTTATCAGTAAGCTACAGTCAGCCATGGAAAAGTAGTCCAAACCTCAGCCACGTTCTGGGGTTAGTGTTCTAATGCACTGCATATAAACAAAACTCTGAAACCCAACTTGTGGCTTGTCTGTTAAAATATGGCTAAATGGCTACATCCTGAATAAGCTCTTTGATCTCCTTCTGTGTGTCACTACAACTTCCAGGCTTCCAGAAGTTGCTCGTTCTGTCACCCCATTCATCACAGAGAAAAATAACTGCAACACCAGAAGCCAATTATGAGAAACAAGCATGCAAATAAGACAGAAGTGGAGCCACACAGACACATTAGTAGACTCAATCAAACATTATGGGAACCAGACTGACTCAGTGAAGGTTTCATGACTGGAACAGTTCAGGATGCAATGGATGGAATCATCCAATTTGCCCTCCACACTCAAAATTAAAATGGAGACGCTAAGATAAGGTGTAACTGGTTCATACTTTTTTAGGATGTTCTTCTGCAGGCTTCTCTTCTTTCTGAAATAACGTTGAAACCACAGGTCAACAACATTCCCAGAACAGGGCCTCTTGCCTCCAAACACATCCTTACAGGTTCACCCTTTCCTCCTGACCACCCCACTACGCACAGGGTGCTGCAGGCATGAGAGCCGCGTCCACTCCCGCCACAGCTCCCCCGCCACCCTCACGAGGGGATATGTCTGCTCCTATCATCAGCTTTTAGGACTTGAGAAAATCCCCACCTCTGGTCACAAACTTCGCAGTCAAGTGGGCCAGATGAGGTCGTCCCGAGTCACGTTAGGGAAGCCCCCTGTCACCTGCGACGAGGCTGTGTGGCTTACCCGGCTCCTCGAGTCCACGTTCAAGAGGCACACTCCACAGGCAAGCTCCTGAGCATTTTTAATCCCAGGCCGCAGCATACAGGAGGAAAAATCCAGCGAGTTTTCATCCGGCTGTGAGGATGAGGATGACAAGACAAACGGGTAAGAAGTCCAGCAAGTCCACACGCTGTTCGCTTCACTCCCTCATCGCTCACCCCCAGTAGGTCTAGCGGCAACTTAAGTACTCTAGCACCACCCCTACAATAACCTAACTTCCCAAACACCCACTGGGAACCCGTCATGCGTCCAGGTGCTAGGAAGGCCGGCACAAGTACAACACGCCCTCTGTCCTCTGAGAACTCGGTCTCGGGTGGGCGCCGGGGAGCCCGTGCAGTGCCATGAGTGCCAGGTGTGCTTACTCAGGGGAAGTCCTGAGTGCCAGGGCACAAGGGAGGGGCACTTAGCCCAACCCGAGGAGGATGGGGCCTGAAGCCAGAGACTGCTTCCTAGAATTTTTTTTTTTTTTTTGAGGCAGAGTCTCACTCTGTCGCCCAGGCTGGAATGCAATGGTGCGATCTCGGCTCACTGCAAGCTCCACCTCCCGGGTTCAAGCGATTCTCCTGCCTCAGCCTTCTGAGTAGCTGGAATTACAGGCACACCACCACGCCTGGTTAATTTTGTATTTTTAGTAGAGACAGGGCTTCACCATGTTGGTCAGGCTGGTCTTGAACTCCTGATTTCAGGTGATCCACCTGCCTCAGCCTCCCAAAGTGGTGAGATTACAGGCATGAGCCACCGTATCCGGCCTGCTTCCTAGAACTTAGAATCACCTTGGCTGAGTGTAGATGGGAGCTGCTAGGTGAAGGGGATGGGGTTGGGTGAGGTAGGGGAGGGAAGGATAGTCTATGCAGAACAAGCAGCATAGGCAAAGGCCTCTGAGCTAAAGATGGGGTATGGGAAGGAATCTAGAGGGTGGGGGCAGAGCCCACGAGAGGAGGAGATGAAGCCACAGCATGAGGACTTCAAGGAAGGAGCATCCTGGAAGCCACTAGGGGTTCCAACTGGATCACCACAGGCCCAGGTTCGTATTATTGACAGATCCCTCTCGCTAGGGTCTAGGCAATGAATTGGGGGTGGCAATCCTCAAGGCGTGGGTCTCAGCCAGAAGTCTGCTGTAGCAGTCCTGGAGACAGATACCGATGGTCAGAATGAAGGCAGCGGCGGTGGGGAATGGGGAGACGGGAAGGAGCTGCCAAGGCCGGAGAATGAGCAGGCCTGGGTGACCTGCTGGATGGGAGAGGTTGGGGGACCCGGGCAGCTGAGGGGATTCACCATAATAAGACACGTGAAAGAAGGACCAGGTTTGAGGATGGAAGCTGAGGAGAAGAGTTCAGTTTGGTCCAAGCTGAGCTGGAGCTGCCTGTGGGACAGCAAAGGCCACATGCTACACATGCAGGTGGTTGGATAGACATACGGGCCTACTGCTTGCAGAGAGAACTGAAAGTCACCAGCTACAGACCATAAATAGAACAACAGCTAATAAGCCCTTACTTTGCCAAGCACTATACTAAGCTCTTCACATGCATTATCTAATTCACTACAGACACACACACACACACACACACACACACAGAGAATGGTTAAAAGGGGAGGTCTCAATCTTGGAAAGCTGTCCAGTCACTCTGCTGCTCAGGCTGGAGTGCAGTGGCATGATCACAGCTCATCGCAGCCTTGACTTCCTGGGCTCAAGAGATCCTCCCACCTCAGTCTCTCAAATAGCTGGGGCCACGTGTGCGTGCCACCACGCCCAGGTAATGTTTTGATTTTTTGTAAAGATGATATTTCCCTATGTTGCCCAGGCTGATCTTGAACTCCTGGGCTCAAGTGATCCTCCCAAAGTGGTGGGATTACAGGCATGAGCCCCTGCACCCGGCCCCGCAGCACACTTTTATTTTTATTTATTTATTTTGAGACAGGGTCTCACTCTGTTGCCCAGGCTGGAGTGTGGTGGTATCATCTTGGCTCACAGCTGCCTCTGCCTCCCGGGCTCAAGCAATCTTCTCGCCTCAGCCTCCCAAGTAGCTGGGACTACAGGTGTGCACCACCATACCCAGCTAACACACTTTTTTTTTTTTTTTTTTTTTTTTTTTTGAGATGGAGTCTTGCTCTGTAGCCCAGGCTGGAGTGCAGTGGCACAATCTTGGCTCACTGCAACCTCCGCCTCCTGGGTTGAAGGGATTCTTCTGCCTCAGCCTCCTGAGTAGCTGGGGCTATAGGTACCCGCCACCACACCTGGCTAAGTTTTGTATTTTTAGTAGAGACGGGGTTTCACCATTTTGGCCAGGCTGGTCTTGAACTCCTGACCTTGTGATCTGCCCACCTTGGCCTCCCAAAGTGCTGGGATTATAGGTGTGAGGCACTGTGCCTGGCCACACACTTTTAAGTTTAATCTGAACTAATAACATTTTCTCCATCACTTTTTAGCACTGAGGAAACCCCTCAGTCCTGACCAAACAGGGACAGTTGGTTGCCCTGTGATAGACATAAATAACCCTGAAAGCTAGACAATAGTAAAATTTAAGAACTAGAATGTTGTATTTATTACCACTATTTTTAATATAATGTATTTAACTGCAAGTTTATATCATTTGTGTTTGTTTTGTCTTGCTTTTGAGAGAGTCTCACTCTGTCACCCAGGCTGGAGTGCAGAGGCGTGCGTGATCATGGCTCACTGTAGACTCCAACTCTTGGGATCAAGCAAGCCTTTTGCCTCAGCCTCCTGAGTGCTGGGAATACAGGTGTGTGCCACTACACCTGGCTACTTTTTATTTTTAGTAGAGATGAGGTCTCACTATGTTGCCCAGGCTGGTCTAGAACTTCTGGCCTCAAGCGATCCTCCCACCTCAGCCTCCTAAAGTGTTGGGATTACAGGCATGAGCCACTACACCCAGTCTTCATTTAATTTTTAGTAATAACCATGTTTAACAACTGGCTCATAAAATTCCTGAACATTTAACAAACTCTTGCAAGCCAGTAAGAACTGGATCTAACACACTAGTGCGACAGAATGGAATCTTAGGTGGGAGCCTAGAAGTTGAGGAGTTCCTCTCAGAGGGTTTATCCTCACTCTAATGCAGGAGGTGAGATCATCGGCTGTGTCTGAAATAGCAGTAGCCTTGCGAGCTTCAAGCAGCAAACTGGCGGTGTGATTCTCTCCACCAGCACACAGAGGGTCCAGGTGAGGCAGAAGGTGGATGGCTGCACTGATTCCGGGTGGGTTCTGTCTAATGAGCATGACTGAACGGAGTGAGGAGGGATGCCTCATGCCCTGTGGAGAGTAAGGAAGTGAGAAAAGAAGTGAAGACAGAAGAGGGTTGACAGGAACACAGTAAAAGAGAAAATATCCTGTCTTGAGAACCAAAAACAGCAAAAGTGCCAGTGAAGAGTGAGACAACTGGAGGGCTGTCAATCCGGACTCAGGAAGTTCAATGTCTGGGTTCGAGACTGCACAGGCGCTGCACAGTGTTTGCTAACACAGCCCATTGTGATGAGGCCAGTGGGTGGCTGAAGTGCAGGGGAAGCAAGGGCCCTGTGGTCCAGGCAGGCAAGCATATGGGAGCCTGGCATGGAAGCTGGTTTGTCCTCATGGATACTGAGGTGACCCAGGATGATGGCAAATTCCTGTCAAAGTAACAGCTACATTTCCCATAGTTCTTCCAGTCTGAACCACTGAGGAGTTTCCACATTGTTTTTGAGCAACAAAGCAAAATTATATGATCCGTATTTTGCCTCACCAAGAAAAAAAAAAGGTTTCTCCTTATAAAAACGTATAGATTATGTATGATGTTCCCTGTTCCTTTCTAATTTGAAATAATAAACCATGAACTAGCTCCACAAACCTTTCTTAAAACACATTTGAGCTAGATCCACTGAGATCACAGCAGGGGAAGGAAGCACACATGGTTTTCAAAGAAGAAAAGGGGAGGTGTATGTTTCAACTGTGTGCAAGAGGACTCTGGTGTAGATGATCAAAGTAAACTTACATGGCCTTAGCCAAGTCATAGGATCTTTTTTCTTTTCTCTCTTGTCTTTTTTAGTGCAACCATGGTCACCGCGGTCAAATGTAGAAGAGGCTGGCACTAACACTTGTTTGTTCTGCAGTCATCTGTAAAAGGGTAACAATTTCACTTGCCCTAACACCTCTCTCCCATTTCTATATATCTCAGATGGACATAAAACATGCTCTGGAAGTGAAAACACAGTCTATATGCTTATCACAATTATTCACTTTGACGAACTCTTAGCAAGTTTTTTAAAGAGGTTAAAACATAGTATCCCTCTGTAACCCACATTATAGATAGTCATCATGTTACTGAATCAGGGCTATTCGAGAAATCACTAAAATCTGGGAAAACTCTGAATCCTGAAATCAATCCAATTAATAAAGCCCCTTAATATCTGTTTACTAAAGGCACAAAGAAAGCAAATGAAAAGGTCATACTGTAATAGCCAATTAAAACCATAAGGCTCTGCATAAATGACCCTGTGATCAAATTACTCTTTCAGCTGACAAAATTAACCTTCCTAAGTATACATGTATAAACAGGGTGTTTATTGTAGTATAATAGCAACAGTTTGGCACCAGTCATATAAGAGTTTGGCTGTCTTCATATAAGAAGATATGCCCTCTACAAGTCACCTTAAATTGATTGTCTCCTTATTTGGCAAGTATTTCATGCATTTAGTAAAGATTTAAAATATATATGTTATATATGGCCTACTGACACTGATAAGCACCAGTGTCAGACTGAGATATAGAATCCTGAGTCTTTAGCCTACAATCAACTGCTACAATGGTGTCCAAGAAGATCCTTATTGAGGAAGAAGAGTTTGGTAGTAATTAGTGTTCTTCACCAATAATCTTTCTCCTTTTTATGGAATGGTAGGATGGGCCTTCCCTACCCCTTTTTCAATCAGGCATGGGCCTGTAACTTGCCACAGTCAATAAACTAAGCAAAAGTCACATGTAGGCCGGGCGTGTGGTGGCTCACACCTGTAATCCCAGCACTTTGGGAGGCCGAGGTGGGTGGATCACCTGAGGGCAGGAGTTCAAGACCAGCCTGGCCAACAGGGCAAAGCCCCGTCTCTACTAAAAATAAAAAAAAAAGTGCTGGGAATGGTGGCTCACACCTGTAATCTCAGCATTTTAGGAGGCTGAGGCGGGTGGATCACGAGGTCAGGCGTTTCTGAGACCAGCCTGGCTAACATGGTGAAACCCCGTCTCTACTAAAAATACAAAAATTAGCCAGGTGCGGTGGTGCTTGCCTGTAATCCCAGCTATTCAGGAGGCTGAGGCAGGAGAATTGCTTGAACCCGGGAGGTGGAGGTTGCGGTGAGCCGAGATCGTGCCACTGCACTCCAGCCTGGGCAACAGAGCGAGACTCCATCTCCAAAACAAAACAAAACAAAACAAAACAATTAGCTGGGCATGGTGGTGGCACCTGTAATCCCAGCTACTTGGGAGGCTGAGGCAGGAGAATAGCTTGAACCCAAGAGGCAGAGGCTGCAGTGAGCTAAGACTGCACCACTGCACTCCAGTGTGGGCGACAGAGGAAGACGCCATCTCAAAAAGAAAAAAAAGAAAAAAAGAAAAAAAAAGTGTCACCTCTGGGAGGAAGCCTTTAAGACCAATGTGCTATTTCTCATGTTCCTTTGAACCTCCATGGTGACCAGCTGTGTTCCACATGGTGGAGGCTCTGTCAACCTGGGTCCCTGGATAAGGACATGGCACAGAGCCCCCCACCAACTTGAGATGGACATATTGCCTGAGCAAGAAAGAAAGCTTTGCTTTTGCTAAGATGGAAGAAGCTGTTTGTTACTGAAGCATAACCTAGTCTAGTTTGACTGATACAAAGGGTGATCTAGACACAGGTTCCATAGGCAATTACAAAGTTTTGGTATTTGCTTGGTTACAGTATTTTGTATAATCTTTCCTATTGCTGCTGTCACAAAGTAGCACAAACTTAATGGCTTAAAACAACACAAATGTATCCTCTTACAGTTGTGGATTTCAGAAGTCTAAAATGGGTGAGCAGGACTGCATTCCTTCTGGGAGTTCTAGGGGAAAAATCTGTTTCCTTGCCTTTTCTAGCTTCTAGGGACGGCCTCTGCATTCCCTGGCTTGTGGTCCCATCCTCAAAGCCAGCAGGTAGCTTCTGTCACTCTCTTCTTCTCTCTGCTTCTGTTATCACATCACTTTTTCTCACTCTTGATCTCCTACCTTCCCCTTCTAAGGATCCCTGTGATGACATTGGGGCCACCTGGGCAAACGAGGATACCTTCCCCAATGAAACACCTTTAACTTAATCCTATTTGCAAAGGTAACATATTCACAAGTTCCAGGGACATGGGCAGCTTTGAGGGGCCATCATTCTGTCTACCACAGCTGCCTTCTGTCAACTGAGGATAGCCCTGCAGAGACACAGTAAAGATCCTGTGTCTAAAACATTGTGCAGACTGGCAAGATGACAAAAATGCCATCACCATTAAAAATAAACTGTTCTCCTGATATGTCACAGCAATAGGAAATAAGTACTCTGAAATTCACAGGTCAATTTCACATTGAAAGGAAGTACAAAAGAATTCATATTTCACTGAGGTGAACAGTGGAATCAAAGAGCCTGTGTGATTGCCAATTGACTAAAATTCAGGGGAGTAACAACCTTTTCTCTTCTCTTAGATTTTATATGGCAAAAATCGATTAATTTTCCAGGACAGAATTCTCTGTTTGTTCCAATCCTATTGAACTTCAACCCACTTCACAAGATAAAACCTTAGATGACAAGTCATTTAGGGAGCCAACTTCAGAGTGCATCACATCTCACTAAACTAGGTGATTTTTACCTCTTGAGAAAGAAGCAGGTGTTCAGTCTGTGCCCGAAGAAGACATGCTTCTACCACAAGAGGGAGTCTTAGTCCAGGGATAAAGAGTATCAAAGAGAGAGCACAAAGCTTTGCCAGTACAGTCAGCCCTCGGTATCCATGGGTTCCACATCTATGGGTTCAACCAATCTCAGATCAAAAATATTCAGAGGAAAAAACAAAAATGATACAAATAAAAAGGTCCGATATAGTATAATAACTATTTACACAGCATTTACATTGTATTAGGTATTATAAGTAATCTAGAGATGATTTAAAATACACAGAAGGATGTGCATAGGTTATATGCAAATCCTATGTCATTTCTTATCAGGGACTTGAACGTCTACAGATTTTTATATCCAGAAATGGGGGATGTCCTGGAACCAATTCCCTGCCATGGATAGGGGAATGACTGTGTCATTTCCAGCTTAAATAAACATCAAGGAGCCACAGTTTGGAGTTTAAGACTGTGCACCCTGCCTTCCTCAGCCCAAGCATGACTACTGTGATGCAGCACTACGTTCTGCGACTTTCACTGGAGAAGGTGAAGCAGCTGTCTTCCGACAGCAACAGCCTCACAGTCTTCATCGGAAGAAAGAAGTCATTTTCAGTAACTTAAAAGCTGGAAGTAACGTAGAGTAGGAAGAAGAATGGATTCTGAAATGATACAGATTCAAATCACAGACTTGTCAGTTTCAGTCAAGTTTCATCTTCTCAAAGCCCTAATTTCTCCACCTGTAAAAGTGATAATTACTTCTAGAGTATAATCCAGCTGCTAGAGATGGCCTCTGCACTTCTTGGCTCGTGGCCCTATCTTCAAAGCCAGCAGGTAGCATCTGCCACTTTCCTCTTCTCTCTGCTTCTGTTGTCACATCACTTTCTCTCACTCTTCCCCTCCTACCTTCCCCTTATAAGGACTCATCATGTGATGATATGGGGTTACCAGGATTAAATTAGAATGAATGTAAAGCATATAGCACAAGGACTGACAGGCCCTAGGTGCAAAATATCGATAAAAGGTAACCAGTAGTAGTAGTAGTAGTAGTAGTAGTAATAGTAATAGTAGTATGGAATCAAAGGGCCTCACTGTGGCAATGTAGTTCATTAAGGAAGTCATTTAGCTGAAATGAAGCAATAGTGTTAAGCATTAAAAGCTTCCCATAAAACCTCAATCATGCCTCTTTCTAATAATGATTTCTCCAGTTTGAGCGTCTAATCCAGAGTCCTGGGAGTTTGTATAGTTTTGTTACAAATGATTTAAACTACACAGATGTTGGTTTATGTCATTTACATTTATGCAGGTATTTTCTTATCAGTTCTGCTAGAGTAAAGGCTTCTTCATGACAAGTCACACCTTACACTATTTCTGTGGAATGTGTGCTATTCCTCATGCAGTGGGAAACT